TGACTTTTACATCCTTTGATATTCTAGTGGGGGTGTATGCTAGATCGTAAGTTTGAGCGCCAGGGTCAGTCCACCACTTAGACTTTTTAAGAGCCTCCCAATTTGAGGCTATCCGAGCGTTAAAATCGCCTCCAGTAATGGAGGGGACATTGGGATATTTAAGATAGCAAGAAAGTAAAAAATCCTCTAGGGATTCCCATCTAGAAGTAAGATCCGCTGCTAACCCTCCCGGAGGGAAATAGACATTTGTAACCAATAAAGAGAAGTTACCACCAGAGATCAGTCCGGTAATAGCATAAGGCGGAAATGCATGCACTAGTGAAAGTTTAGCCCGAAGTTTAAGGGAGATACCAATTGTATGGCCACCTTTAGGGCAGCCACCATTCATTGACGGGCTAGCAGGCAGACATATAAACTCAAAGCCATTTAACTCAATTTCCTCCTCCACCCAAGTTTCTTGTAATAGTATAATAAGAAAGGAATTAATATATTTTTGGAATTCTGGATCTAATTTTTTACTTTTCCATCCAGCAATGTTCCAACTTAGTATTGAAGGCTGGGGTTCCCCCGTACCTCCAATTGACTGTCATTCGGAAAATTGGCTCAACTTTAATACGGGAAGAGGGGAGCCAATAAAGAAATCAGTTATCTTCCTCTGATGAAAAACCTCTCGTAAAGGCTGAGTGGGATTTACAAGGTCATCTGACTGTTGAGCTTGGCCACTCGATCTACTAGGAGTAGGACCTTGAACAGGGGCGGACCCCTTTTCCAAAAGAGTTTGGTGGGCCACCCGGGGTGGACCAGCTATCTCGTCAGAAGTTTGGTCTCTCTGTAGCCTGCTACTGGTCTTTTGAGCTACATGATTTATGTGGCCTGTTGGGTCTTCAATCAGTTCCGTCACTGATCTTGCTGTTGAATCCGTGATACTCCGCAAGGAGGGATGAGGCTGGGTGGGAGGACTATTTGGGGAGGTTGGCAAAGGCACCTCTTCTCTTGATTGGTCAGTGCTATAAGAAGGTTCCAGGTCTGGCATCGATGAATGTGTAGAAGGGGATTTTTCCTGTTGTGTGCTGCTTTCTTCAGGTATGTTTTTCAATGGACGGTCATGCAAATCTATTAAGAGCACAGAGTTCAAATTCAGCTATTTCATGTCCTTTCCAATTCTGCTGTTGGAGTTATTGCAGATTAGTTAGCACCCTTAAATCGTTTTCTCATATGAGCAGTGTTAAGTTCCACATTTCTTTTTGATCCATGTTTATGGGTGAATTCTGTTCCTAATAATTGATTCTGAATTAAATTAATGAATGACAAGCAGAATTGCATGACCTTGTATATGTGGAATCAATAAAAGAATTTACCAATGAAATATGCAGTAGAAGAAACAGAGGGGAAATTGGCCCAATAGAGAAGTCATTTCATATATTTTGCTTCATGGAAATCATAGAATTGTAGAGTTCGAAGGGACCCTGAGGAGGTCCAACCCCCTGCAGTACAGGAATATGCAGCTGTCCGATAAGGGGATTGAATCTGCAACCTTGGAGCTATCACCAACTGAGCAAAAGCGAAGACCCAATGTAAATGGCCAACTTTTCAGAGCTTTAGTCCAAACAAGCAAAATCAGTTTTCCCTTTATTGTTTCTGGCTGTTTTGAGTAAGCAGTTGACTTGACACAGTCCTGCAAGAATGAGCAGCTGAGTTTAATTTGTCTCTTTAGTAATTCTACTGATAATGTCAAAACTTGCAATTTACAACAAGAAGATCCTGGTTGTTTCTGAGAGGTAACCACAGAGGTAACCTTAATAGGTTTTACGGTGATGAACATGAGAATTTCATTGCAAAATTATTCAGGCTGGTTGGTTATGAAGAGCATTTAATAGCATAGCTTGGTCTACGGCTAAGTGAAAGGTTTGATAAAATTACAACATAGGGCTTTAGATGAAGTGTTAGCAGATTAATTTGGAATGTGGAGTACTGTCGTTGTACCAGTGTTGACACACTGTCCAGTTCATCACAAGATATTAAGCAGTCATATAGGTTGGTTAATGTTAACGAAAGGGCAGTATGGGAAGTCAGGCTTGCAATGAAGATAGACAAATGCTATTTTAAAATGGAAAATAGGTGTTCTGTATTTTAAAGTCAAGCAATGGAAGCATTGCCTAGCCTGAAATAAGAATAAATTCTAAATAGAAAAGTGGGGAAATAACTGATAATATCCCATTTCTGAATAAAGTAGTGGCTGGTCAACTTTGAGGGTGTTTGGAGGTAATGAGTTTTAAAGATGCATTTAACCTGTCTTCAAGCCTGGATCTGACAGTGAAACTGCCTTGGTCATCCTGGTTAACCAAGTGTCAGGAGCAGAGCTGGACTTACCATTAGACAAATCGAGGCACTTGCCCCAGGTGGTGGGATCCTGCCAGGATCCAGAGTTGGCAGATCCCACTGTGATGCCTGCCTGTCACCATGCCACCCTACTGGCATCACCACAGGCCTGGCGGTGTTGGGGTTTCAGGGAGATCTCAAGAGCTTTCACCACTGCTGCTGCCCCTCCTCTGGTGGTGAGGGGTGGGTGGGAGGCACCCATTGTGGTGCCAGAGTTCCAAAGGTGCCTCCTGGCCCCCCTTCACCAGAGAAGTGAGAAGCAGGTTCCAGAGGTGGAGGCCCCTCACCACAGAAGTGATAGTGGCTTCTGGGTTCTTGCAAGAAGCTGTTTCTCTGGTGCCACTGCAAATGCCTCCTGCCCTACCCTGGTCCCAGGGAAGTAAGTAGGAGCAGCTGCCATGTTGCCTTCTGAGTTCTGGTGAGATTGTGCTAGAATGCAAAAGCTGCTACTGCTTCTCCCATGGGGGGGGGGGCTGCCACAAGAACCTGGAAGCTGATGCTGCAGCCATGAGACCTGGAAAACTGTGTGACCCTGGCTTTGGCAGGTATGGGTGGCAATGGCCATGGGAGACAGCAACTTCCTATTTCGCCTCAGGTGGCAAAACGAGACAGGCCACCTCAGAGAGAGAGAGAGAGAGAGAGGCAAGGGAAGTGCAACTCTGCTGGTTCTGATAGAGTGCAACTCTATCAAACATGACATCCTTCTGTGGAAGGTGGAAACATGGTGTTTCCACCATGTTTCAACATGTTTCCACCTTCCACCTTCTGTGGAAGGTGGAAACATGGTGTTATGTACAGGATCACTTCCAAAAAGCAGCATTGGGGGATTTCTGCTTAGTGGGGTAGGAGAGCTGAAAATAATGCCAATATATTTCACATCTGGCAAGCTCTTAGAGCAAAATATACACCAGGAGGCTTTGTTTGGTCAGAATTGAATATACACTTCCAGAGTTAATGCTAAATACATTACTTCTGGTAAAATAACATCGCCCGTCCCTTCAGAACAGCACTTGCCTATCTCTTAGGACTGACTGACCCATGTTTGACTGCTGTTTCATCACTGTTGTGCCAGAAGTGGTTTAGTCATGCTGGCCACATGACCTAGAAAGCTGTCTGTGGACAAACACCGGCTCCCTCGGCCTGAAGCAAGATGAGCGCCGCACTCCATAGTCGCCTCTGACTGGACTTAACTGTCCAGGGGTCCTTTACCTTTACCTTACTTCTGGTAAATGAGGCACCCTAGCCCCAAGAGGGCTGTGGGAAACTGTGTCCCTGGCCTTTTAGAAGTGCATTGGTTGTCAGATGTGGTTTTTTCAGCTCTCCTACCCTACTTGCTTGGCCTGTGGCTATTATACTGCAGGGGTTCATTCCACGTACTCTTTCAACAGCTATATGAAGCTTCAAGGTAAGGTCATCCGATTTGAGTAAGGTACCATGTATGCTGATGACACACAGTTCTTTCTGTCTCCATTCCATCTGAATCAGGTGCAGCAGTGCAGACGGTAGACCAGTGTCTGGAAGCAGTAATGGCCTTTATGAGGGGAGGGCTAACAAAATGAGAATGATTCCTAAAAAGACAGAGGCACTCTTGGTTGGTGGTTCATGTATTTGGGAAATGGAGAAAGAACCTGTTCTGGACAGATTTGCACTCCCCTTGAAGGAGCAGACACATAGTTTTGGATCCAGGTTTGTCATGGGAAACCCAAATGGCTGCAGTGGTTAAGAGTACCTGTCTCCAGCTAGGATTGTTTTGCCAGCTATAGCCATTCCTGGATTGGGATAGCCCTGCCACAGTGATCTATTGTAACTTCATGGCTAAATTACTGTAATGTGCTTTCCTTGAAGATGGTTTAGAGGCTGTAGCGGTTGTTGAATGCTGCTGCGAGTATTGACTGGCCTATTATTATATATGGAACTCATAGAAAGGTGGGGGTCATGTGACTTTGTCATTTTGCTCATTGTGTAACAAACTGGTAGCATTCGCTCTTGAGCTCTTATGCATGCACAGGTACAAACATACCTGTGTGCATGCCTGATATGGAAAAAAGGTAGTAGAGGGCAAGGGATGGAGTGATGGAGTGGAAGGATACAAACAGAGCAAAACGAGCACAATATGGATACATTCCATCTTCCTCCACCCATTCGGATGGGTGGTAAACTGCAGAATAGCCACCATTTCCATGATGGAACATGCGAAAGCTAACCTGCCTGTTGCATGCACAGAAAATTCCAATCAGAAAAATCAGTTTGTGGAATAGCATTTCTTGGCTGGAAGCACACCATTTCTTCCTTAGTTCCCAAGTACAGGAGGAACAATACAAATAGCACTGGCTTCAAGTGTGTGCTTCTGATACAAATTAAGACAAGTTAAGCTGTTTTGCCAGCAAAGGTCAGCTCTTTTTAAGTCTAATTTGGCAGGTACCTTGCAGGCATTTGATACAAAACCTGCAAGGACTAAAGGACACAGAGTCAGAAATCTGATAATTAAGCCTTCAAGGGCCTGTATCAGATTCACTTCTTTTTCTCAGGTGGGAAGCTTCTACCTGCCTTGCATCGTGAAGTATTTCACACCCAGTTAGAATCTATATATATTGACCGCCATACTTTTACAAATCAGAACTGCTAAGAGATGTAATAAAATAACCAGTTTAATTTGTGTTACATTTTGAGGAAAGTGTGAGCAGAAGCCATACAGATAATGAACAGTATATTCCAGCAATGTACATTTTAAGTGGAGCAGACTAGATCCTTGCCCTACTGCCATGCCCAACCATGCTTGCCAGTTGTATGTCCAAATATAGCTGTGGCCTATTTTCAACCCACAAATGTGTATAATCTGTCCTCATTCCCACCACACACGAGCTGGAACCTGTGACTGCTTCTGTAAAATCTGAAGTACAAGTTCAAATGTGCAGGTACTGTTCAGCTTATTTGTTTTGTGAGAGTCTACTCCCAGCTTTCAGTGTTTTTAGCCAATGAATGAAAACATAGCAATGACTGGCATTTTGAAAAGCAGATCTAGCGAAATAGAAAATCAGTTACACACCAGTGTCTAGTGAAGCAACTTTTTGGTTACTTTTTCAGTCTTCTCTGCCCTGTTGGTTGCCACTCTTGACTGATGTTAACACTTCTTCTTTAAAGTCGGTGTTAGAACTTTAATGAAAAATTGCTATCTGTATGAGGCCTCAGCTTCAGGATGCTTTTATCCAGATATGTTACCTAGGATTATTTCCATTTCCAGGTACATTTTCTTCTGTTAGAGAAGAACTACAAGAAGGTATTGTTAGCTTCCTGAAGCAAGATGTCGAGTCTGGGGCCCTTCCTTGTAAAATAATTTTTTAATAACCAGGAAAATGTGTGCATTAGAACAAGGGTTGCTCCAATATGAGTGCAATTAGTCAAGAAAGTGTCCTGCAGGGATAGAACTTGGAAAAAGTTATTAATGGAAAAAGTTAAGGTACTTATCTGTACCTTTTCTGTGTTTGAAAACTTAACTTTTTGGCTGCAATATTTTTGAAAGCTGGTTCTTATTATGGTAGAGGGTTTATCCTTCTCATTTATCACCAACAGCTATACTGCAATTACCTTCCCAGTTAGTCATGAGAGTGTAATGTCAAAATGACTCAAAGCATTTAGTAGAAAATTTCACTATGCTCCATAAAAGATTTTTAACATTAGATATAGTGCAGGATAACATATTTTAACAATAATGGTTACATGATTTTGTAAGAACAAACAGGATTCACTTTCACTTTAATATACGTCTTTTCTCTCCCTTAGTGTAACCTGATTGACCAGAATTCAAATTGGGAGCTGGCGGGGACTCCTGTCGTACCACGTGGCCTGCCCAGGGATTTCCCAACTACCAGCCGCCTAGTCATGTGTTGCTTCCGGGGGCTTGGGGCCCGATGCAACAGGCTGCAACTGCCGCTCACATTGGGACCAGGTAAAAGAGGTCATTTTCTTTCTCTCCAATTAGGAACACAAAGACATATAGTGAGGTGAGAAACACTCTGCACAGATTCAAGCTTTGTACACATCATACATTTGAAGCAGATGGCTTCACCTAAAGAATCCCAGATTCTTTACCTTTACCACAGCTACAGTTCCCAGCACCCTTTTTGCAGCTCCAGCTGATTTGCCAGCTCTGGCTGCTCCTGGACAGATATAATATTGCCACTGTTCAGAGGGGCAGCCCATCAGGAGCATGTTTAACACCTAACATCACATACTAGGGGTTTGTATCAGTATTGGATTTTGGGCTTGTCAGAGGTGAAGTGGGGTTTATACAAGGTGATACAAGTCAAAGCAGTGGCTCTTGAAGCGATTCGGTTCATGGTGTTTGGTGATCCAGATATGTATGACAAAAGCAAAACTAAATGTCTTTAAGGAAACCACCAGGGAAGGGTGACAGGGGAAGGGAAAGCAAATGCCATAGGGAAAGCTTGTAATTAGAAGAAATGATTTTACCAAGCAAGTTAATCGCTTTTAGTTCTTCTCTTCCACCACCCTCAAATTAAATGAAGATTATAATATCGTAATATATTTATTTATATCCCCACCTCATTCCTTGACAGGCGGCTTAGTTACAGATAACTAGCGCAAAAGTCATTGGACCTATTTGTCTGTAATTTGGCAGGTTTCTTACCCAGGGAAAATATTATTTGACTGAAGATAGTAAGGATTGGTTTTTGGAATGTTATGTACAAAGGAAATGTATACATGTTCAAATGCTGAGCTATGACCTCTCAGGAATCAGAATGTCCAACTCTGCCACAGTAATGTAATCATTTGAAAGCCTTGTACTAAGTTAAGCTGAAGGCAGTTCCATGCCATAGCAGTCTATTTATTAAATGAGATTTGTATTGTATATGTAATTATTTATTAAGCTGAGAAGCCAGACAGGGTAAACAAATGTTTACAGTATAATACATTAAGCATTTTCAGGGTTTAATAAAAATGATTGTCACTCACTGTGCTTCACAAAAGATTTCTTTTTAATGAATAAATAATTTGATGAAATCAAAAAAATATTTACAATATAAACAAATGGGGAAAAGCTTTGGATATATTAATCTGATCATCCTGTATTTTTTCCATTTTCTTAATGGAAAGTCTGTCAAGTCTCTCCTTTCTGAAACAATACAAGTTGGACAGAAAATACAATTCAGCAAAGTTAATGTGGTTTGTTTGTGTAGCTATTAGTTAGGTTGAAGCTACAAATGCTTTGTTTTATTAGGAGCAAATAGGATACAAATGTAACTAAAATACATTATCAAAATGCTAGACGGCATTCTCCACAGAACAAAAATGTACACTATAGTCTCTGACAACAGAGGATCACTGCCAACAAAAAAGTACAACAGAAAAGTACAAATTTCTTCATTAGAATAGAATTGTGCTCTTTAATTTACCAGGTGACTAGACTGGTATATCAAGTTGATGGATTTATATGATAGTGGTTTCCAATCACTGAAGTGCATTTTTTGTGTTACTGTGGGATTTGTATGGGATTTGTAGGTGTCTCAAGCAACGGCCATACTGTGGAAAATGGGCAGTGCAAGCATTTTTTTTTTTGGAAAGACGCTCTTGGGCTCTTAAAAAGAGCCAGTACAAAGCAATATAAGCATAACACTGAGAAGTCCTCATCTCATACACACAGATATCATGAAGCAACTTGCTTTGATTGTGGTGGTGAAAGGTTTTGATTCCTCCCAGCACTATTTGCACCGTCAGCCAGAATTCAAGTACTCCAAAGCCACTTCATAGCAGAATTTATATTGATCCTGGAAAATCAAAACATGAAAACAATGTCAATTGCAGCAAGGACTAAATGAAGGATACAAGTTTTCTTTTTCAATTACCGTATTTTTCGCTCTATAGGATGCACCTGACCATAGATGCACCTTGTTTTAGAGGGGAACAAGAGGAAAAAAATCAGCCCCTCTCTGCCAGCGCCCTTCAGCGAAGCGGCAGGAGGCGCTGGGCAGAGAGGGGGAGAATTTCCCCCCCTTGTTCTCCCCCTCTAAAACAAGGTGCCGTTCAAGGTGCATTCAGTCACCTTCAGGCGGCTACCTTGGAAGCCTGGAGAGCGAGAGGAGTCGGTGAAGGCAACCCGAAGCCTCCGGAGTGCTGCGGGAGTTCCCGTTGCGCTCCGGAGGCTTCGGGTTCCTTTCGACCTGCTCTTTGGGGCTGGCAGGGGGAAGCCCACTGCCAGCCCCAAAGAGCAGGTCGGGGAGCAGAGGAAAGGCACGCAGCCTTCCCGCTGCTCTGCAAGCTTCTCGGGGCTGCTGGGGAAGCCCGGGTCCCCACCCCCCCCAAGAGCAAAGAAGCCAAGACAGTGAGCGGGACGCATCCCACTCGCTGTCTTGGCTTCTGCCATAGCTGCGAGCAACCTCTCCAGCTGGGAGAGGCTGCCTGCGAGCGGCTATGGCAATACCCCCACCTCCCGCAAAAGCCCACAGGAGCCGCGCACCCTTTAAGGAGCGCGCAGCTCCTGTGGGCTTTTCTACGAGGAGGGAGAAGGGACTGACTGGCCATGTCAGTCCCTTCTCCCTCCTGAGGAAAAGCCTGCAAGAGCCGCACGGAGCTTGTGTGTGCGGAGCTTTTGGGGGCTTTTCCTGCCTGCCTCCCCCCTGCATTCGCTCCATAGGACGCACACACATTTCCCCTTCATTTTTGGAGGGGGAAAAGTGCGTCCTATAGAGCGAAAAAGACGGTAGTTATAATTACATAATAATACAAATTTCTGTGCAGATTTATACATGGTTAATGTTCATCAGTTTTAAAACCCTATTGCATTGGCAATAAGATTATTCACATAGGCAAATAAATAAGTAGAACACTTGGAAATTTCTGTTATTTTACCCTTCTTCCAAACACTGAAATCACAATGACCAAGTACTTGTTTAGCTATCCAAATGCCCTTTTAGCAGGATGCAACCTTCCTTACACTACTGATGAACAAAGTAGACCATAATACCCTGATGCTTTGCGATGTCCTATATAGTTTTTATAGAACAACAGCTGGCATTTCAGCAATTCTACATATAAGAAGTTCCATAAAACACTCTACAAGGAAATAATTGCTCTTGGCCCTTTGTTTCTGAACTCTTTTAATCCTTCTGCAAGATAGAAGAGCCATAATTAAATGCAATACTCTGAATGTCAAACTGAAATTCACAGTCTTGATAAATATTAGGAGATTAAGCTATTTATAAAATATATAATTTGAAAATCTGGCATTTCATTTTACATGACTATTATTTCTGCCACACAAAGGCTGTTCTCCATGTGGATTGCACTGCCAGAAAGGGAAATTAATAAGGATGTTCTGTTGAAAGTTGAAAGTTTTCACAAAAAAACCCCCAGCATACACTGAACAAGTCTCCTTGGGAGGAAAGCAGTGTAAAATACTTTTACAAGCCAAGTGATTTCATTATCCCCTTTAGAAAACAACAGGCTTGCTTTTATGAACCGCTCTCAGTTTAAATCTCAAAAATGTCACTGTGCCTTATGATAATAGGAATTTCCCCCCATACTTAGTAGAGCAGTTTAAAAGCTCATACCAGAAGGTCCACCATGTTAGGCTTATTATTCCTCAAGGTCTTCACAGCATGGAAAACATCAACAGCCCTCTGGTGTCGCAGCATTTCACAAACAATACTGATTGCACAAAACGTCCCACTGCGGCCACCTCCATTTCTGCAAGAAAAGCAATGACTAGATTATTTTGTAGCTTTGTGTTATTTCCCCTTAATAGTACACGTGGGTCTCCCCACCCCACCCCAAAAACCCAGTATGACATATGTTGATGTGCCAATCCACCTGGATTGTGATAATATTTGAGGGTTCACAGAGCATCTACTGCATTTAAGTCCCATAGCCTGATTTCAGGTAGGGGCTTTTTTGGTGTAGCGCTGAAACTATATGTTTCTTACTTTCTTGACTGTTCCTTCTAAACAACACCAGCCTATTTCACAAGGTGGGTGTTGGGGATTTTTGTGACAGTCTTGTTATTGAAGCAATCTCTGGCCATACCATATCTACATATAAACACGCAAAGTTCACACATGTCTTGGAAGGTAACTAAATGGTTATATGTCCTCCAGTTTTTTAACAACTGAAGAACAAACTTACAATTTGTAAAAATGAAATTCAAATAGATTTTTTTTTAAAAAAATCCTTAACTCTTCCAGTACAATAAAATACATAAAATGGTCCAGATCAAAGTGAAGTCCACCTGTTGGTCTTATTTCTTGTAGATATAAAACCTCTTTAATTCCACTTTATCTGATTACGTTTTAACTCATTGCCTCCAGAGAGCCTCTGGCAGTCAAGAGAAAAAGCAATGGGCTAAATGGACAAATATTTTGACCTGGGATAAAGCAGTTTCCTATGTTCGAATGTTTTGTACTAACACAACTGATCAGTATCAGATTATGTCTAGATTCATTTAGCTGAACTATGCTCATTTTGATGCAATTTCTAATTGCTCGATGTTCTAAAAACCCACAAACAGAACTACATGCTTCCTCTTCTGGACCCTTAATTCTTTAACTTCCAAAATTCCCTCTACTGGCCTGAACCACAATTAAGGCTTTCCATTAGAATATCCACTACCCATGGCCCATACTAAGCAGGAATCTATGCTTGGGTAGTGGAAACAAACTCATGGTCTGGATCCTAGTTCTTAAGACATGTTTTAACAGATTGAGAGTATTGTATCTGTCTAATAAGATGAGAAAACAAAAATGTGAGGCTTCTGTGTTCAGATGCATGATTAGATATAGCATTTAATAAAACTTTCTTCTGAAAATTAAAAATAACCATAGATAATCTCTCTCCTTCTGGAAACTCTATTATTTCCACAACTATTCTAATCAGCATCTTTAGATTCCACTTCATTGAAAATAATAAACCTTAATAATTACCAGAGTGCAGACT